TCTCAAAATAAACAAATAAGCTTTCAAAAATTACAAAGGAAATACATTTATTTATTTATTTATTTATTTATTTATTTATTTAGTGAGAGAGAGCATGAATGAGGGAGAGGGACAGAGAGAGAATCTTAAGCAGACTCATGCTTAGCATGGAGCTGTATCCCATAACCCCAGGACCATGACCTGAGCCGAAATCAAGTGTCAGGTGCTCAACCGACTGAGCCACCCAGGCGCCCCAGAAATATGTATTTTAATTTTGACTTTTTAGGCTGTGAGAGTATGTGCTTGCTTCAGATGGCTTTTATCTTCTTTCACTGATTCCCTTTTAAGATTATCATTATTGCTTATTAATTATTACCCCCTTGGCTCATTCTGGGACAATAATGGAGAAGTTAAGAGTACTTTTCTCATTATCTGGAGGTCTATAGTTAGTAATTTATTTATGTTATTTTATTCAGTTTTCAAGTTAGCCCCTTAGGGGATATGATTATACATTATTTCTTCAAGAATTGTTTGTTTTTAATCATCAATAATTTTCTATACTGATACTTAGAATTAAGACTTCTATCAGCTTTTAATCCTCTTTGAAAAATTAAAGCTTTGATAGCTTTCCCCTTTTACGTTCGCTGATATGTTCTGTGCTAAGTTACTATATGTTCCATTCCATGTTTGAAAATAAATATTGCTACTGTTCTTTAATTATATTTTTGTCATCTCGTTTGGGAAGTCTTCAAAGTCATAGAATAGTGGAAATTAATTTTTAAACTTTACAGATGGATAACTATTTTTTCTGGAAGTTATATCCTCTTAAAATGATAAAGGGGTCTCTCGTTGGGATATGAAAACTTATACATTGGAATTTTTTCTCAAATGCCACCTTCACCACCATCACAAAATTAGGGTTTTATCTAAAACTGTTACTTTATTTTCAAAGACCTTATTCCTAATAATTTTCCGCTCACAGAAATAAAATACCTTATAAAATATCAAAAGAGCAAACTCCATGAAGAAATAATTGCTCTGATAGTCTGTCTATGTATCATATGCCCTGCAGTCTCTTTAACAAAACATCAACAAGTAGTAAAACCAACCCAGTGAGAGGTCAACAAATGCCAATAGCTTTTAGCTTGTAAATTGAAATCTGTAATCTTAGGAATTTACTACTGCAGAACCTTGTAAATTTATCCTTAGAACCATAATATAGATGAAACCATGTTACTGTCTTTGAAAAAAATCTCTTCCTCTCTGATTCAAGATCAAGGTCTGCATTGCTGTTTTATGTACAGGAGTTGTCTGGTGATCTCAGTATATTTCTATATAAAGCCACTTATTTTTAAGGAATTTAGGTGTTAGCTCTAATTTTCTGGTGAAAATTTCATGTTTACTGAAGAAATCATTGCTTGTTTTTCATATACTGAATCAATACATTTTTCATTGTTCTTCACAATAAGCATAAGCAACTTTATTTTATAGGTTTAAAATTTATGTATTTTATTTGCATTATTTGTATTATTTTGTATAATTTGTATTATTAAGCTGGTGTTGGGGGCCATTGAAGGAGCAGACATGACATTTTTACACCAAAATGTTTGATGAAGATTAAACCAAAAGAAAATAAAATTAATCCAGATGGAATGATCTAAAACATCTATGTGAAATTACAAAAGAACAAAAATGAGATTTTGTCATCAATATTTTTTTTGTATTTTTGAAAAGGAAGATCATTTTATTTTGCTCAGTTAAACTATGGAAAAGCTCTGGGATCCAGGAAAATCACATGGAGTCAATAAATGAAAGTGTAGATGGAATACCATTCAACTGCCTGAGCAAAGTGTTAGAGTGCATGACCTGTTCAGGTAACCAGGACCTCACATGAAGTCAACTCTACAGAAATGATTTTGAGCAGTTTATGGTTTCAGATAGAGCCTTAGTACCAAAGAAGCCAAATTAAATTGCTATTGATAATCACTCTAATAAAAGTGGGCGCTGTGTGGGGGAGAATTACCAAGTGTCCCATGAGACCTATGTCTTTAAAGAATTAATGATAGGGGCGCCTGGGTGGCTCAGTCGGTTGAGCGTCCGACTTCGGCTCAGGTCATGATCTGACGGTTTGTGAGTTCGAGCCCCATGTGGGGCTCTGTGCTGACAGCTCAGGGCCTGGAGCCTGCTTCGGATTCTGTGTCTCCCTCTGTCTCTGCCCCTCCCCTGCTCATGCTCTGTCTCTGTCAAAAATAAATAAACATTAAAAAAAAAGAATTAATGATATACTACAAAGGAGCTCCTCTCCACATTTTCATTCATGCTCTGCCATTTGTAGAAAGACAGAACTGAGTATTGTGCTCTATCCCTCCCTCAAATATACTTACCTGGGAAATAAGAAAGGGGAAGGGGATGGATCTTTGATCAGAGAGTGAAAATTCTACCTCAATCTAAACTTTTCTAAATACGGTCATCTTAAAAGTTAGCTACCAAGGGACATTTAGATTTACCCTTCTTGGCCCTTCACTACCTTGAACACTTCTTCCAATTTTTCTATTTCATTTTCTGGACTCCTGTTTCTAGCTGTCCCCTTTTTGAATGCATATTTGAGGCATAAAAATAGAGATGAAAACCAACATGTCTGTCTACTTGTTTGTATCGACTGCTGACTACTGGATTCATGTTCTGTCCAGGCACCGAAGGAGCGGTATTCGGGCACTCTGTTGAGACACCTCACATCAGAGCAGAACCTTCCCAAGACCTCAGGTAAGTTCTGGCTCTTCCACGTATGTCAGACTTTCCATCACTGTTGATGGCCCTTGGTATGTAAAGAAGCAAAATAGAAAATGTGCTACATATTTGTATAAAGAGTTGACATTCCCTGCCTACATAGTAAATGCCAAGTATTTGAGGACAAGAAAATGTGTGTTATTATTGTAAACTTCTGTATATTTTTGCCCCTAACAAACATACAATGAATATAAAAATAAATATATCAGACATGAGGAGTGTGGAAAAGGCAGTTATAGAGGAAATTTAGAGGAGAATTAATAAAAATAACGATTCCAGAAAATCCAACATAGACAATGAAATACATGACACATCTAGGCAGAAAGAAAGAGGCGGCAGAGAGTAGGAAAAAAGCTATAAATGGTCAGGGAATGTTATGTAAAGGGAAATACAAAGCAAATATGAATAGTAACCAGAAAAAGACAGAACTTAATTACCTTATGATGGATTCCTCAGTCTAGTATTTCCAATGGAATAGGTGCTTCCCGACAATGTTCTGTTTCTAAGAGGCACAGTTGTATGTAACAGCCCTCACAACCCAGAAAATTGTGAGATGACAACTTTATAGGGAATTCTCCCCAAGAAAATCACAGCAACTGTTAATAAAATTTGAAATATTAAAATCTATCAACTGACCAATGAATGACCTTGATTCAATAAATAAGGTTTGGGGTCCAGTGATATTTTATATAACTTATAGCAGTAATCATTTCACAACTTTTACGTACATGAAATCATTAGGTAGTACACCTAAAACTAATACAACTTTATATGTCAGTAAAAAAGATGTTTTATATAGTTACTCTCGGATAGATAAATTACATTCCAAAATACATTTCTATAGGATGAAAAAAAGACAATAATGGTATTTAAAAAGTAAATCACACATTAGAAATCATTTTCAAAGCTGAATCAAAGTATCAACCTGGGAGACAGTCTTTGTCTTAGAAAACACAGTATAAATATTAAGCAAAACCCAAATTATTTCATAAAGATCAGGTGCAGCCCTTCTCATTTGGATGAGCGGAAAACACTGCTCAAATGAAAATAGAAAAATAAAGTAAAACGATTTAAATGTTTTAAAAAAGCCATACTTTCACAACAGTAACATTTTCAGACCTTTATAGTTCTATGATAAAATTTTCTAAGGAACGCAGTTTCTCACTATCGCAGTATTTCGGATTCAAACCGGCTAGTTGACAAAACCAGAAGAAGGTGGCCACGATCTTCCTGTGATCAAGGCACTTTTTTTATTAGACAAAGAAAATAACTGTTTGCTCAATGCCAAAATCCCAACTCAGTACCAAAGGATTTAGACGGGTTGAAGAGTATGTGTAAACAGCAACTCATAATGCGTTATAGTTTTAACTTAGGGCTCTTTTCTCAGTTAGGAATTCCCACATTTTTGTGTGATTATTTATTTTTTCCCTTCCCATCTAACAAAGGTGTATGTTCCCTTAGACCAACATCTGCATCTTCGTTGTTTATCTTCAGTGCTATAGCAGTCAACATATATCTCACACATAATTGTGTCTGATAAATACTTATTAATGTGAAATACTGATATAGCAAAACTCAATAACGAGGACACTGAGCGCATGTAACATAAGAAACGTGGTGGTCGTTACTGCATTATTAGGACCCAGGTGGCTGACATTGACTCCAAGTGTTTTTGAACTGTGTGTTAATACAGATGCCAGAGTTAATTGATTCATTCCTTAAAAAAAAATGTTTAAATTACACCATTCTAAAAGAAACTTCTTTTTATGCCTAACAGTTTAGTAATTATATACTCAGTATATGATTTTCGTTATGAGAATCTATTGCTAAAAGAAAAATAGGATGTGTTATTTTAATTACCTTGCTGACATGTCTCAAAATTCATAAGTGTGAATGTGAATTAAATGATAATTAGTATATGGTGTTTCTGGTTTTTATTTTCTAATTATTCATCAATTATTTAAATATTGCACTAAGCTGAGTTTATCTGCTGGTGCTAAAAGCAAATTAGTAACCCCCAAGATGAGCGTTACTGATCTAAATTTGAAACTGAGACAGAAGCAAAGCACAGTAATGATGGGGGTATTCAATTATTCATTTGTGTACATGAAGATTAAAAGCAGAGTGTCTGAGAAGATCTTTACAAGTCCTGCTGACAATTTTCCTTTCAGGGCAGTAAGAAGTACTCTTAGTCGACACCTAATTCTAATCAACAAGGTGAGATTGGTTGGCCAGGTAAATCAAATGGTAATTTGGGGAGTAAGTAGCCGTGTTGTCTTTAATTTTGTTTTTGTCGAGAATAAGAGACTTTAGAAAGATACATTTCAAAAAGTTTATTAAAGAGTATAGGGAATGTTTTGGTGTGGACATGAAGTAGATTTCTATAATTTATTTATTCAACGAATGTTTGATGAGTGCTTAATGTGTGCCAAATTCTGTTCTAGTTTCCATGTGCATTTCAAACCTACACATGTAGATTTTCTATGATGTCTTACACAAAGTTATATTGCTTTTCACTAGGGACCTCTGTGTTAAAAAGGCTAAAACAATGTATATTGAGTAGTCGAGACATAAGGGTATATTTTCCCAGAATAGCACAAATATGAATGTTCTTCCTTTTTTATTTCTTAAATTAATTTAGCTAAATTATCACAGTTCAAAAGAGTGTCTGCACTTTATGGTGAGAAGTGAGGAAACCCGTTTTATATTGCCCAAAGATTGTTTGCATCTGAGTTTCATTAACTGTTCCAAGAAAAGAAAAGAAAACAAAACAAAACAAAACTAATCTGGACTTGGGATCAGTAAAATGAATTAATATGTAATGATGTAGCTGGAATCTTTTCATCATGTTCATTCTTGTGTGAATATAATTTTAAACTGAAATGTTAAGTTTTGCAGGCTCCAAACTGATCTCCGAAAACACATAGCTCTCATATACGTCATTACTGTGTTCAAGGAAAAGCCACCATGTATAAGGTAGTAAGGATTTTGCACTGAGATGTTTTGTCAATAAGAGGTTCTCCTCTCCTCCCCCCTCTTCCCTCTCCCCTTTTCCTTTCTACTCTGTCTCTCTGTTTCTTTCTTCTTCCCTTTTACTATTTCATTCTATGTATGTATATATTTATTTAGAGTTGATAGCAAATGATCATTATCAGAAGCTTGTATTAGGGTGTAATCTTGGAAACATAGAGCAACAATTGATGTAAACATTTGTTTGATCTAATTTGAAGAAAGAGACCATAACTGAAAGTGCAAGTAAGCAGAAAACAAACCAACCAAAAAAATAGAGGCCACGAAAACCATGTGATTTGCAGCTGAAGAAAACTCTCCACAGCTTGAAGTGATACGACAGTAAAATTGCTTGTATATTCAGGTCAAAGTTTACATTGTGTTTTTCCCCCCTTAAAACATTTTTCTGTTCAATTTTCTATTCATTCCATCATTGAAATAAAAAATAATTCACTAAATGCCTGACACCGTGTTAAATATTTATGAAGAACCAGAAACATGATGCTTAAGTTCTGTTTAAGTTTCTATTTAGTAATTGCATCTCACAACTTTTTAAAAGGAGTCTGAATTCTGTTCTCAGAATGTTGAAAGTTCTTCTAGAGACCTAGGCATTTTTTTTTCAAATTGAGAATTGTATAATACCATAAAAACAAAATCTGTTGCATCTTTAATATGTAAACACAATAAAAACAGCATTTCTTGGGAAAAAAACAGGTGGTAGGGTGACTGAATTTCAACATTACTCCTTTTCTCTACAAGAATCTCTTGGTACCTACTATAAAAACTAGTCTGAAATCCGTCACTATGATTGCTATAATGCTTTCAAAATGAACACAAATAGTACTTCACTAATTCCAATGACTAATCACATAGGAATTCACAAGCTTTGCAAATAAACATGAGTTTCATTTTTCAACAGGCCCCTTTAGAGAATGTTTTGTAATAAAATGAATTAAAATGAAACCTCTACTATGTTGTAAACCCTCCTCAGGGGAGGATTGACAATTGCTATATAGGACAGAAGCAGGGCATCATTTAATTGTTAATGCTGTATTGCCAAGAGTCTACTTACCAGATTGTTCTCGAAGGGAATACAGGTTTAGTCTAATTTGAGTTCCAGAGTATTCTGGAATGTTTGAGTTCCAGACTTCTATAGGACTTCTATAGGAATTCTAGGCTTATTTGAGAAGGTCATGGTATCTAGAGAAAACCAATATAACCTAAGTCTTAGTGAAATTTTATCAATTCTTTTTCTTTATGATTTTGGGGCTTTCCATCTTGTTTCAAAGGTTGTCTTGTTTTGTATTTGGGTATTTCCAGTGTTTTCTTTTAATTTTCTGTCATTTAGTTTTACACTGGGTATTTCTTAGTTTTATGTTGTGGATAAACACAGTGGGAAATTATGTTTTGAATTTTCTTCTGATTTGCTATTGAAAATTACAGCCTGTGATTTACTACTTTTTGTATTTAGAATAGATAGAACTGGAAATTATTCTTGCAGAGTGTGTTAAGGATCTAATTTTAATGTCTTCAGTATGGATAGACAATTTAGTAAGCATCATTGACTAAGTAACCTAGTATTTCCACCCAAAATGATTGCTGCATTTGTCAGATATTAATTTATCATAAATACTTTTGATCTATTTAAATTATATTGTGTGCATTGATGAAATTTATATTTTAATTCCAATCTCCTTTTGAATTGAAATAATTTCATGTTAATTTCTAATTTAAAAAAGAAAATGTCTGGGGTGCCTGAGTGGCTCAGTTGGTTAAACATCAGGCTCTATTCAGGTCATGATCTCATGGTTCCTGAACTTGAGCCCTGCTATGGGCTCTGCACTCACTCTTCCTCTCTCTCTGCACTTCATGGGATTCTCTCTCCCTCTCTCAAAAAGAAAGAGAAAGAAAGAAAAGAAAGAAAGAAAGAAAGAAAGAAAGAAAGAAAGAAAGAAAGAAAGAAAGAA